ACTTCGATGGCCATCTGGAAAGTTTTATTAGGAAAGAAGGGTTCACAAGCGTTGCCTCAAGATCGTACGTGCCCTCTCCGTTTCAAATTAAGTGTCGCTGATTTAATAAAGGGAAGGGAGGATATTCCAACCTAATCGTGCCTCGGTTTGGCCTTTCCTTGCCATCAAGTGACTGAGGCAGAGGAAGAGAGCATAGACGGAGAAACCATAAGTCAAGAGCGTTTGCTTAATCTCGTGGAACATAGCATCGCATCAAACAGTAAAGCGGATGACGACGTAGATGATACGACGCCGAACTATCTCGCCATCGCGCAATTACGTCTCTTGGAAACCACTAGATGGATCTCATTTTCCGCTACAGGAAACAAGACTAGTTCTTGATGGCCCTAGCTGCAAATCCTCACTTTGACCTATCATCTTTTTTGTGCTCTTCTAGTGGGTGAGTTTGCTTTCTAAATAGTGCAAGTGTGCAATCAAGCAGCGGTTTTGCATAGATTCTGGATAGGATCTAGTGTCATGTATGGAACAGTCACCTACCTACCGAATGCCTGTGCTTCAAGCGTGCGTCTGGTGAGACCTGATCTGACATCTATGTAGTACTACACTATCAGAAAAATACAGTAGACTGAATGATCTAGTAGCCTGCATGATTGGGCCACTTCTAGAGTTCTAGTTATCTTAGTTGTCTGCGTCAGCTTGCTGGAAACGGAGTTCGGGCAACTGTTAAGTTACTACTCAGCATTACATCATATGAATGAATGGGTTCTTTGGAGCGATAATCAAAATTATCTGTTTCCACGTGCCGGAACGGTCAGCAACGGGTGTCGTGGTGGCAATTATCAGGGTCATCGCCAAGTGTTTGAAAGTTGGTGCTTCCAGCTGTATGTCAGCAGGGAAAGGAACAAAACAGATGTTAGTTTAATTAAGACAGACATGAGATGAGGTCACACTGTATTCGATAAATACTCAAATCAGAAGATCACAATTCTAGCAGTCTACATGGATGACATAATAATCACAAGAGAAGATGCAATGGAAATAACAAGGGTTAAGAGAGTTGTTTAAGCAAAGCATTTGAAGTAAGAAATCTTGGTCAACTTAGATACTTTCTTGGAATAGAGGTGAAAAGATCAAAGAAGGGAATAGCTCTATCACAACGCAAGTATAACTTAGACCTCCTCAGTGATACGGGGATGATGGAATGCCATGCAGCTCTCACACCCATTGATCAGGATCACAAAATAAGAGCTCAATCTAGCAAACTTGTAGACAAGGAGAGATATCTGGTGGGACGATTATTGTACTCGTATCACACAAGACCAAATATTGCATATACAGTTAGCGTAGTAAGTATATACACGCATGAACCAAGAAGTGTACATATGGATGATGTCCCAAATCCTAAGATGTTTAAAAGGAACTCCAGAAAATGGGCTATGGAAGCAAATGGATCTAACAGTTGTCAGTAGTAGTGATGCTGACTGGGTCCGCCTCATTTCCGATGGTCTCTCGGCCATGGAGGTGTAGAGGATCTTGGCCCACCGCCGGCGGGAGGGATGATGTTCTCGTTCTTGTTAGACTCAACGTCATGGTTGGGTTGTGTGGCGGTGGCGATGTCCCTTAGTAGGAATAATGTCTCTCACGTTCTATCCCCGTCCCGATGGTGCATCTAGCATTGTCGGAGGGCGTGTGGAGGTGTGTCTCTGTCGGATCTCGCGGGATTCCGTCGGTGCTGGTCTTCGGCGGATTTGTTTGGATCTGGTCTTCATTCATCTTCTTTGAGTGTTTATAGGTTTGATCCTTCTGATCTACAACTTTATTCATCGGCGATGGTTGCTGCTCTGGTGCACTGGTCCTATGGGGCTTTATCACGATGACTTTCCGACTGTCTACTACAATAAAGATTGGCCGGTTCCAGTGAGGGAGGGGCGATGACGGCGGCGCGCCTTCGGCTCGCTTCAGTGCTTGTAGTCGTCGCTAGGTGGTCCATGAACATGGTTGTAATTTTTATTACCTTTGTTATTCTTTGTACTGCTTTGATTGAACATGAATATATTGAAATTTTATCGCAGAAAAATAAAAGGAACTCCAAAGAAAGGGCTATGGTTTAAAGCAAATGGATCTAACAGTTGACAGTTATAGTGATGCTGATTGGGCAAGCTGTTTAGATGATATAAGGTCAACTTCATGTTATTGTGTATTCCTTGGAGGGAATTGGTATCATGGAGAAGCGAAAAAAAATAATAGTATCAAGGTCAACTACAGAAGGAGAGTATAAAGCCACGTATTAAGGATTAAGTGGGATGCTATGGGTAAGAAACTTTTTGAGTGAGCTGGAGGTGTTAAAGGCAGGACACTTGAACTTATGGTGTGATAACAAGTCAACAATTTGCATAGCAAATAATCTAGTCCAACATGATAGGACAAAGCACATTGAGATCGATAATCTTTTTATTAAAAACAAGTTGGATGCTAGAATCATCAAGGTCAACTATGTGAGTACATGGCAACAGGTTGATGATTATCCAACAAAGGGTTTGGCTGTCAAGAATTGTAATCGAGCTTGTGTCAAAGTGCGAACGATGGATATTTATCACTCATCTTAAGGGAAGTGTTGGACAGTAATTGGGCTTCAGTATTCCGACATCTCCTGGCTCATGTGGCCCATTCTCTCCGATGGGTGGACAGAGTATATAACCTGGAGCGGGATCTCACATTGGAACCCTAGGATATTACAACAGTTGGTTGTTGCCTTGAGGTTAGCCACCCCTTCCTTAAGTGTAGGCTATTTCCGATCACCTAGTACCTGCTATTTCCATTTATTGTTGGGTCCTGTTGTATTGTGACCCCATCAGAACGTTGCTATGTTGCAGTTTTTCGTTTTCAACACTTACTGAAGGATGGTGTTTTGTCTAAAAAGCGGGACTGAGAATTAGTTTCTAAAGTTTTTAAAACTAAATTTCAATTCAACGCCAATGTGTATATTTTCAATTTTAAAAACTTGAGAAATTTGATTCTCGGTGAGTTCAAAAAGGTAGATTCACTGTCGTTTCCCTGGCTAAACCAAGTTGTCGCATGGAGCCGAACTTTCCAGCGTCGCCCAACTCAACAAAGCAAATACTTTTCGAGCTATCATCATTCCATCTATTTCCAGGATCCTAACACGGGACTTGAGCAAAAGGAGAAAGGCGCCGAAAGTACACGGGACAGACAATCGTGCCACGCCTTCCGTCAGAAGCAAAATCGACAGGACCATATTCTTCTCCGATCTGAGTTTTGCTCAAGTCTCGCATAAACTCACGGGCATATTCAAAAAAATCTGACCGTCGGTCAGGGTGGTTTTTGTGGACTGCGGAATTTCACAATATTAATTTGGAAGATGCCCGGCCTAGCTAGCAAAGCGACGCCAAGAGGGAGGTTTTCATTCTTATTATCTGTCACGACGATAGAATTGCTATCTTTACGATCCTCCGTTGGCTGGCTCCGGAAAAGTCCGAGAAACGCCGCCCCGTGAAGAAGCTATCAAGCAACCAGAACCAAGTGTGGTTACGTTCCATCCAACCAATCGTGCTTCAAGTGACCTACACTGAAGAAACCATGTCGCTCTCCGACCAAAGCCATTAACGTCTGCACTAAGCTCGTGGTACACGCACTGCATCAAACGATGAAAGAGGATAGCGACGTGGATGATTGAAGCGTTCATGGAACTTTCCGCGAGGATCCAGGACATGTCGGCGTCGCGCAACTACGTCCTGTGGAAAATGAAGGAACCCCTCCTTTTCTTTACCTCTATATACATGCATGAAAACAGAAGGAATTTGGTGGATGCTTTCCTTCTTACCTCCTACTAGACTCCTGGTACGTTCTTCATGGTCCTAACTGCAAATCCTCACTTTGACCTAGTATCATTTTGTGTGCCGTTCTAGTGAATGGGTTGGTTTCTGAATAATGCAATCAGGTTTGGCATGCAAGCATAGATGCTGGATAGGATCTAGCCTGTTTGGTAAACAGTTGGGCATGAGAACGAGAGTTTGCATCAGGATGTTATGGAGGGATTAGTCACGCGAAGTTGATTTTTACTCTCATTCCCTTGTTTGGTATATGGTGGGAATTAGCACGGGATAAAACTCTGCTCACGAATTAACAGGGTACCCCCTAGAAAGAAATAGGTGGAATTTGGCTTCCTCAACTTCCATTCCCCTTCCCACTTAAACTCCCATTCTCTCTAATCAAACAGTGGACTTTTAATCTCCTCACCCCTCAACTCCCATTCCCCATCTCTAGCGTCATGGAGACAACAGCCACCGTACCTACCATGGAGCATGCGTCCGGTGGTCTGATCTAGCAACATCCATCTATGCAGAGCATTTCCATCCAGAGCAAATCTAGTAGCTAGTGTGAATGAATGATTGAGCCGCTTCTAGTTATCTATCTCAATTGTCTGTGTCAGCTTGATCCATATTGGCCGGACGGGTTCATTCTAATCAAAAGTAATGGGAGTTCAGCCAACTGCTACTACTCAGCATTTCATCATGATGATATAAAATGAATTGAGTTTGTAGTTAAAGTTATCTGTTTCCATGTGTTGGGGCAAATCTGCAACGGGCGTCGTGGCGGCGATTATCACCTCCATTGCCAAGTGTTTGACTGTTGGTGCTTCCAGCCGTATGTCATCAAGGAAACTAACCAAAGGAATATATTGTTCACTTGCAACAAGCAAGTGTATTTTACTCCTTGATGACACAGAAAGACTGGCATTAATTAAAGCATTAGATGAAACAAAACATTATATCCATGGTTTGGTTTTACAGTTGCTTGTTGCTACCAGCAACCAGAGCTCAACTACAAATATATGGTCCATGGATTAACTTCAACTCATCGTTGCTGACAAATATCTGGGACACTAGGGCAACAACAGGAGAGCAGAGAGCGCTGGTACAACTCTGTGAGCAGAGAATAGACTAGCCAGAATCACCCGAAAAGCCGCTGCAGGGGCATTGTTATGCACCACCCCCATCCCTCCGGTATGGCATGAAGCGATGATCTTTGGATGCATTCTTCTTGCGTCGCTTCTCCATAAAGGAATCAAGCTTTCCTGCCTCCTGTAAATGGTCAACGTACATTGAAGTGTAAGGCCAGGGATGCTCATAAGTGTGGAAATTAGCAGTCAACTGAACCCTGGGTGCCTTACCTTGAGCTCATTGTACTTATCCATCAACTTCCTTTCACGAATTTCAGCTGGTCAAGAAACGGAAATAAACTTTAGTATGCAGATAGGGAGGGTGTGAGAGACGAGGGACGGGATTGAGGAACCAACATTTCTTCAGATAATATGGTCGTTTTCCTGCCTTTGCTGCTTCCCTCTCTTTCTTAATATGTCCTCGCAGAATTTCTGATTCAACGTTCTTCTGAGGATTAGACCTCAACTGCTTATCCTGCAGATAAGAACATGTTCCGTCAACCAATCAACAAAATAGGAAGACCTGATAGCTTTTGCTCAATACAAGGAACCCAGTCCTGAAATTATCACACACCTTATATTTGTTCTAAAAAATACACATATAACAGTCCAACTTAACATAAGATTAAAGAACCATTCCTAATGTATGCTATCTTAACACAATATCAAATTGCAGGCTTGCAGCGACCATAAGCTTATTTGATAAGGGCACCTACCTAGATATTTTAAATTTTTGCCGCCAAGCACAACAAAATAACATTCGTGGGAAAAATCGGCAAAACCTATTACAAAATGTCAACTTGTGAACAAGTATAAAATACTTACAATCCAGGTGATCTGATTCTTCGCTTCTTCAATGGCATTAGGGTCCTTCAATTTCTTAATCGACTTTTGGAGTTTCTGGAGAGGCACATTAAGGCAGTGCAGGATACATATTTAATTTTGTCAAAATAAATGATCGGTGAGATGGGATTGCACAGACAAAGGCATAAAATATACCTCTTTTTCTGCAGGGAGATCATGATCGAATAAGAAATTGTATCTTTTCCTGAACCTGAATGCCAACAAGTTTGAACGAACTGTCAAACACGCTACAATTGAAAAATGTGCCTAAACTAGTCAATATAGATTATGAAACCATAGAGTGTTTAAGAGACATGGGAATGGAAATGAATGAAAGCAATCAGCTATACAAATAAATAAGTTATCTGCCCACCTTATCTTGGCAGGATTAAAATAGAACATGCCAAGCTAAAGGGCACACAATACTGAGCATATAAATGGAGTAAGACAAATAATGCCGTGCAACAAATGATATAATTATGTTTGACTCTTACCCTTCTTTATCAACAGCTCCATATACAGGTTCAAATCTTGGATCCCTTACCACCTACAGAAAGAAAAACGTAGTAAATACAACAAACTTCATGAGATATTATATGGTACTGTCACTGCCTCACTAAAGATGAAGCTATTGTAAAGTTACATCCAACAGCGCAGTGTGTAAATCAACATCCTCAACATAAGCATCATATGATAGCAAAAGTTTGTGTACTAAATCACTTTAGTATGATTAAATTAAATTTAAAACATAAGCAAAACAACAAAAAATGAAAATAGATTAAGATAGCTACAGACGGATTTAAAGTAGTTGTTGCCCTACATTCAGGTTTATTTTTTTGGTCTAAAGAACATTTAGTTGGATTAAGAAACAAGGAAGGAACCCAGTGGAATCTGATTCTATTTTCCACCAATGTACCAGAGATTCAAACAGCAAAACTGGCACGGAAGTCAAGTCAGACAAAAGTAAACCTTGCTGTGCATAATGTCAATTGATTCACGAAAACTTAAATCAGCATTTCTTGAGCTATTTTATCGAGGACAATAGCATATTTAATTGAAGCAGCAAGACATGCCCAATGTAAATATGTATTTTAAAACCCATCTTAATTACACATAAAGCATGCATGCTATGATGCTATCTATGCACAAGCTCATGCAATGCAACAACAATAAAATGGACAGATTGAACTCTCAAAGGCTCTAACTGAACTATGTGTGTGCTTATCCTATACTTTCACTACCAAAATACCAAATACTACTAATCCAATCAAATCAAACTCTACTCCTCCCAGCAACACGCTAAATATGAACTGAATCGCACAAGCAACTGACCTTCTTGGGAACCTGGATCACATCCCTGAGTCTAGGCGGCCGCACATTCGTGCTAATCTCCATGGGCCTGTTGAAAACCACATGAACACATCAGCACAAGCATTCATTCAATTCCCCAAATTGGCTAATAATCCTAACCAGGAACCGGCATGACGTGGAACCGGACCTCTTCCTGCTCTCCCTGCGAGCCTTCTTCTGCGCGGCGGCGGCAGCAGAAGCACCCCGCGCCCCGAGCGACCCGTCGGCACGCGCGCGCTGCAGCTCGCCGAAGGGCACGTCGGCGAGCACGCGCTCCAGCTTCCTCTCCCGCTCCGCTAACTGGTCGTTCTCCGACTCCGACTCCGACCCCGACCCCGACGACGAGGAGACATCCTGCTGCGGATCAAACGCACCGCCGGTGAGGGTTCTGCGGATCCGCGTGGCGGTCAAGGAAAACGCGAGGGCTTGGGCTTTACCTCCTCGTCGCCCGATTCCTCGGAGTCTGAGACGGGCTCGTCTACGGGGTCGCGCTTGCTGGAAGTCGAGGCGGCGGCGGAGGTGAGAGCGGTCCCGCGGTGGCTGCTGCGGCCTTTCATGGAGGCGGCCGGGGTGGATTCGGCGGCGGCGGCGGTGAGCGGCGGCAGGTCTCAGTGTTCGTCTAGCGTGTTTTAGGTTCTAGCCGGAACATGAATACCCGTCCAAGCAGCCCAAATATTGTTGTTGGGTTTCATACTTCACGCGCCAGTGCGCGTGTTTTTGCTATATGGGCCGGCCCATGTAGATTATTCCCACAGGTTTTCCATGGGGTGCTTTTCCTCTTGTTTTTAGTTGTTTTTTTGTTTTTGTCTCAAAAAAAAGTTGGTTTTTGTTTGATTTCTCCATTTCCATTTTTTATTTTCCTTTTAGATTTAATTTTTCATTTTAATTCTTAAAATTTTAAAATAGTTTGAAAATTTTATTTCTTTTGTCATGAATTTTTTGAAGATCACACAATATTTCAAATTCGTGAGAAATTTTCAAATCCGTATTTTCCCCTACTTTGCGTACATTTTCCAAATCTGCAAACTTTTTTTCCAAAATTTGAGACCTTCTTCAAATTCGCGAAGATTTCGAACATTTCTCAAATTTGCAGAAAACCATTTTTTAAATTCAAAAAATTATGTTCAAAATTGCTAACATTTTCAACTTCATGAATTTTTTTGCACTTTTTTTTCAAATTCATGAAGAAATTTAAATTTGTGAACTTTTTCCAATTTCATGACCTTCATTCAAAATCCATGATTTTTTAAAGAAACTCGTGGATTTTAAACAGGGCAATGTCAATAATTAACATCCAACTGTCAACGAAAAAGGTCAGCGGTTAACTATCATGATACATGTTCGCTCGCGAGCAAACGCTTGGACGCTATTGGGTTGCCGCCCAAGTAGCCTTGCATGTGCGTTAGGACGCTAGCGGGCGCCAAAGACGTTGTAAGTGAGGTCTCTATTTTTCACCTGACCCATTTTGTGTATGTTACTGCTGAAAAATCCGACTCCATGTCCCTTGTCGCGCCATGCACCTGCTGGGAGGGGTGAAAAGGAATGAGGGGAGGAAGAAGAGGGACATGAGAGCTTACATGGTGGCTAACGACATCCTATAGGTAACGAGGGCCCCCTCCCGCATGATCACGACGCGGCGATGGCAGAGCTTGAGAAGGAAAACAGGGAGATGTTTCACACAGCAAGACAAGACATACTAACTTGTGCAGCTTGGTGATCTCCTTAGTGTCATTCGGGGTGTACTTCAGGATCCAAGAGTTGCGCGGCCTTGGTGGAACGGGGGTGAAGGCCATGATGAGTCCGGATATCAGCGGACCGCCACGGTCAGGCATGCCACGCCGCTGCCACCAGATTCAAGGCCGCTACCCCGAGCATTGAGCTTCACCGCACATAGCGACCAAAGGATCCCCTCCCCCGTTTGAGGAAGGGTCCCACTGCCACAGCGGCGACGGGAGGAGGCGTAGGGAAGGGCTGGCGGCGGCGTGCTAGTTTTCATCCTCGAGTCACTCGGGTGGGAGCGGCACGGGAGAAATTTTGTACAATTACTTGCTTAAAATCATCAATTCCAACCACACTATCTGTTAATTCTTATAACTAGCAAGGCTATTAAGACCAAAAATCTCACCATCCAAGTTAAGAACAAGAAGTTCTCTAATTATGTTTGTTTTTTTTTTGAAAAGGAGGCTTGCCCCGGTCTCTGCATCTGAACGATGCATGCAGGCATATTATTAAAAGTCTCAAAATAGTACGAAGTCATATAAATATTACAGCTCGCAAGCGGAGCAAAGAGACATAAAAAAGCTCAGTACCACAATCGGTATGAATAGAAGGACAAGATCCCTAGACTCCTATTATGTTATGCGACCGCCATCCAAACCGGTTGAATATAGCCCGTGCTACCATCTCCCACCGGTTGCACCCAGTAACCAACGGCTCCCTAGAGTCCGTATGAGTGAATAAGGACCACGTACGGATCCATGTCGTAGCTCTGAAGATGATCTGCAAGAAGGTTAAAATATGTTGTCTGTTAAAAATCATATCATTCCTGCAATTCCATATAGCCCAAATAAGCGCACATATTCCTATCCGAATACGAGACATGGTAGTATGTTCAACTCCAGTTAGCCAAGTCCCAAATAACGATTCAATGCTAATTGGAGGAGTAATGTTAAAGGCTATATGAATCGTTCGTCAAAGTAATTTTGCGAGAGGGCAATCTATGAATAGGTGCTGTATTGTTTCATCATGATCACAAAAACAACATCGTGTACTGCTTACCCACCGTTGCTTTATCAAGTTATCTTTGGTCAGGATCACTTGCTTGTGGATAAACCACATAAAAAAATTAATACGCAAAGGAACCTTAATCTTTCAAATATGTATCGATCTCGGGATTGGGCAAGAATTAATAAGACCCATATACAAAGATTTTTATCGTGAACACTCCATTTCTAGCCAACTTCCAGTGCAAAGAATCAGGTTGGTCGGATAATTGAACATCCATCAATCTACGTACCAAGTGCATCCAGGAGTTTCAACGCTCCCCAACTAACGATCGTCTAAACTGAATATTCAGGGGTACTAATTGTAATATTGTGCCAATGTAATCCTCCTTACGTTGCGTAATATTACATAGGGTGGGGTATTGTATGGCTAGTGATGTCTCTCCTGACCACGTATCCTCTCAAAATCTTGTTGTCATCCCATTGCCAACAATGAATTTGACCCTACGAAAGAACAAATCTTTCGTTCTCATAAGCCCCTTCCAGAATGACGAATCAGTAGGTCTCGAGGTGACTTGGGCAAGAGTTTTCGATTGCAGATATTTGTTGCGTAATATTTGTGCCCACCTACCATCATTCTCTACTGATAACCTATATAGTCATTTACTCATAAAGCACTTATTCTTAATTTCCAGGTTCTCAATGTTGAGACCCCCCGTTCCTTGGGTCGGCATATTATACCCCATCATGCTAGGCGATATTTCTTCTTAGCCTCATCAGACTGCCAAAAAAATCGAGATCGAAAAAAGTCTAATCTCTTTCGTACCCCCTTCGGTACTTCAAAGAAAGATAACAGGAACATCAGCATACTAGTAAGTACTGAGTTAATGAGCACTAACCGCCCTGCATATGACATTAGCTTGCTCTTCCAACAACTAAGTTATTTTCTCAATTCGATCTTCGATGCACTTTCATTCTTTATTAAAAAGTTTGCGATGATGAATCGGTATGACCAAATAACTAAAGGGCAAAGAACATAATTCACAACCGAACAATTGTCTATATGTATCTTGCTCCTCTTTGGCCCTACCAAAGCAGAACAATTCACTCTTGTGAAAATTGATTTTTAATCCCGACAATTGTTCGAAGATGCATAATACTAGTTTCATATTCCGGGCTTTTGCAAGGTCGTGATCCATGAATAGGATGGTCATAATTATGTGTAGTGGCCGATCATTGCATGTAGTCATGGGATCCATCAGAGTGATATATAGGTTCCCAACTGAGAGAAATACTTACTACGTGCTGCAAACCCTTGCTCTTCAGGGTTCAGCAACTCCTATAGAGGGAAGCATAAACAATAGTGTCTATGATGTTTCGGATCCTTTGGACCCAGGTGTGCACTTCATGTGTCTTTGTGTTGTCGACCACGTATAGTGTTCTTCTTCTTCCTGCTCTTTGCGGTGGTGATCTTGCGGGCGATCAACAGCTTCAAGGACGGAAGACTAGCCATTAGGTATCAGGGTGATGTTGCCCCGATCGTGTTTTCGGCTGCAACGAGGTTGTGGCCTAATTTTTTCCCCTTTGGTTTCTCTCTGACGCGACAAGCGCTCCCTAGTGTTCATGCTCCCTCTCTGCCGCAGCGGTATCCTCTCTGCCGCCGTTGTGGAGCTGGTGAAAGTCTTGTTGGTTCTGGGATTTCCGATCTACACTAGGATTTTACGATGACAATTTCTTCTCCAGGGTGTTGGTCCAGCTGGATTTTAGCATGAAGACTTCCCAACCACATGATACAATGTCAAGCCGGCTTCGGTGATGGAGTGGAAGCACGCCTTCGGCTCATGACAAAATAAAAAAACATGGTTTTGATTTCCTTATGTTTTCTGACATGTCTTGTATTGTTGAAAGTTTTTAATACAAATCAAGAGCCTTATTCGCCAAAAAGAAAAGAAAAAAACAGACCGTTGAGTGATCTGAATCCTAGTCCTTCTTGTTTAAGCGTCATCACCACGCAGAAATCTATCCCGGCGTCGTTTTGCTAGCCTCCGTCTCCGACCGAAAAAGATTTGACGATAACCGGCCATCAGAAAGCGAGATTCGACCGGCCAACGCCTCCTCTCTCCCCGAAGAAGAAGTTGAGCAGTTGCTCTCCCCACGACGCACACCGCCGAGACTCTATCTTGTCGATACGCGGCACGCACGTCGCGGCGACGATGACAGTCACACCAGACATATCCCTGCACCCGAGCGATTCCAAGGGCCAAGTTGCCGTGCTGCTACCGACGGGCCAACTGAAGAGACTGATGGCACCAGCAAACGGCTAATCACTCGGCTGTTTCCTTCTGCCTCCCCAGAAACCTCCAGTTGGTCCGTACCTCTGTTGAAGATGTCGCATCGGACAGCTGAAAACTACTCGACGATACGTCGGCTCTGTTTGGATCCATGAGTTAGAGTTAGTTTGGGTTAGTTTGAAAACAACTAACCCAAAAAGATCCAAACAGGAGGGTTAGTTTGGGTTAGATGCATCTAACCCATTCAAAAAAACTAACCTATCCAAGAGGTGCTTATTTGGATTAGTTCTTCTCGGGACCACTAATAAACATTTTTTTTCTCTCGCTCTCCCCACAGCAGATCCCTCCCCACTTCCTCGAAGCTTCTCGTCCTCTCCCTCCCTCCCTCTCGCACCGCCCGTGAAGGTTCCTCGCTGTATCCGCGCTCCATCTAACCCTGCCATCCAAACATCTCTTTACTTAGAGTTAGTTCAGGGTTAGTTCAGGGTCAGAATCTAACTCTAACCTCTAACTGAGTTAGAGTATCCAAACAGGGCCGTCGAT